CAGCCATGTCTTCAGTCAACCCCCCAATGGGCCCCATTCGAGGTCCCCGACGGACTGGTCACCTGCACAAAACTCTGACCCCTTGATCCCAGCTCCCGCCCGCAGCAAGAGAACCCTTAGCTTACCGCCGCCGCCGCCGCCGCCGCCGCCGCCGCTGCCGCTGCCGCTATGCGACGTGATGCTATTCTCTAGAGACCGAGCAGTTGCAGTAACTACCTTACCTTGCCATCCAAAGCACGAAGCACCAGCCACCATGAGACACGACCAGCATCTGACGGGCGGCAATAACGGGCGTGGAACGACAAGCTCAAGCTTGCCGCCTTGCCGCGATTTTTCTTGGCATTATTCCCTCTTTTATTTTTTTCCCTCTTCTTCTTGTTCTTCTTCTTCCCCCCTCTGTCCCCCTCTCCCAGTCCTCCATAGAAAATCCCCCGCCCCCCCTCCCCCCTTCTTCTGTTCAGGGTAGCGATTTGCTCCAAAGGTACCGAAATCGACATTACCGTGGCCATGGTTGATGGCTGCAAATCCGCCGAGCAGGAACAACAAGCTACTGGATCCCCGTATGCTCAATTTTGCTTGCTCATTCGCCCGTCTTGTCTGAATATAAACCACGTTGCCTCCAACGCCTTTCGAAAGGGGGTTTCGGCAGCTCTCAAGCTGTCACTTTCCGGCTTGAAGCGTCTACGTCCCCTTGCATGTTCCTCCGCCTCCACATTTCCGGACGGACTATAAGGTCTGCCCGCCGGGCTGCCGGATGGCCGGTGCCGGTGCAGCCGCCGGCGCCGAATGACCGCCAAGCCCAATCCCTGGTCTTGGCTTCACGGCGATGCAGTGCGCTCCAATCCGATTGCTCTGAAGCAGCAAACTTTTGGCAGGCTCGTCAAAGTGATGCGTCGTGATGCCGAAGACGTGTCTTTGGCGGCGCGGCATGAGGCAGCGAAGCGGCGAAGCGAATACTATGTATGTAGACAAGGTGCCGCCATGCCAAGACAGTGACTGTCGCCGTAGCTGGCCACCTAGCTATCGAAGTCGTCGTCTTCGTCGCGATCGTCGTCGATGTGGTCAGGATGGCTAACGGAGCCCCACGACGCAAGCTGAGCAGGTTTGCCAAGGACCGAGCGAGCTGCCTGAGGTGTGCTTCCACTGGTATCGCACCTCGACCCTCCGGTCCTTTGGGCATTTGGACCTTCGCTACACATGTAGGCATGGTACGATTTTGTCTGCGCGGCTACCACGTATTGGCTCAAGGGCGGCATCATCGGCCAACTTGGGTAGTCAATTGACTTTTCGGTCCCCTCCACCAAGCCTATCTCCCCGCCGGTCGAGTCCCACTAGCGCCAGCATCGTTCTTAGGCACTTGGCAGGCCCCCGGAACCTCTACCCGCCTACCTGACGTTGAGGCGACGCGACGCGAGGCTTGTTGAAGTCGTTACCACTAAGTAGGTGCACAGTAAAAAGGTGGTGGTGTAGGCCATCCACCAATGCTCGAATAGCAGTCGCTAGCGTCCTGCTTCATAGCCAACAAAGCATTAAATTAAGACGATGCGCAATCCAAAGTCGGGTTGAAGTACAAAGGATTAGTGATCAAGGGGAGCAAATCGAGCAACTAACTGTAACATGTTGCGCGGTGAAGGCGGGGTTTGTAGTCGCAAAGTCATCAGGCAATATCTCCTCCACGCCAACGTCGTTCCAACCTTGCGATCTGTAGACGCAGCCTACAAGCACAGGCACAGATATGTACATGCAGAACAGTACCCAAGGTAGCGCACATATCCGCAGATGCAAATGCGGGCTCGATCTGACGGTGCACGTAATAGATTGACATGTCGGGCCCTGGTCAAGAATCAAAGGTCAACCATTCCCCTGGGCCCCGAAGCCGAAACCGCAGCCGCTGCCGCCGTGGGTGTGGGCTTGGGCATGGCGACAGGCAATGTCAATCCCGGCGCAGCTCCCATTCCCGCATTTGCGAAATGTGAGTGGTTTCCGTACATACTATGCAGTACATACGGACTCTCTGGGACTTTGATGCTGTTCTGTTTCTGAGCTCTGTGGATTCTTTCATCGCATGGGTTCGTCAGATCATTCGCATCGACGACAGCATGGTTCTTGCCGGGGAGATTGTTGCACAGAAATTGCCGTGTAGTAGTTGGCGGGGTGCATGTAATTAGATCCCCGACAAAAGTGCCCGTCTCCGTTCTTTGTCTCTCTCTGGGCCAAATTGAATTGTCAGTCCTCTGCCCGGGCGGACATGCGAATATGTCCGGCCCCACCGCAACTCGGCCCATCTGCCAAGACTACCACAATAAGGGCCAAGGCGACGTGGAGGGCCGACCCCAATGTCTCCAATGGCGGGCGAGTCCAGGCCCAGCTGCGCTCGCCATCACCTCGCCATGTTATGTCGCTGTTCGAGATGGACAGCGACATGAGGTGCGGTCCTCAGATGTCCGCAAAGCGCATCATTCTGGTCTACCTTAGTCTGGTAGCTGGCCGTTGCGGCCCGTCTGTTTCCATGTAGTGAGTGCACCTGCGCAGTGCAGTATTGGATCCATCCGTACTGCTGCTAATCATCACGGACACATACCCGTACGGACTCGAGTTGAATCGAGTCGTATCGAATGAACAAGCCATTCACCGCTCAGGACGCATCACAAGTGTCCGTCGCCAATCCGACTGTCCCGTCCGTACCGGTCGAGCTCAACGCCGCAGAAGCCGCAACATCCATCCAATCAAGCGATGCCGTTGACAAAGTCGAGAAAATGTTGCAACTCCACCTCACAAACCCGCCCGCGCTGCATCACAGCCTCAAGCTAGCGAGGCCAAAGACGGCAAGGATCAGTCTGATCCACTGTCGACCCACTTGAAATGGCGGATTGAAAAGAAATAAAGAAAAAGACAGGGCAGATTAGGGTGGCGCTGGTGGGTGTTCTCAGAAGAAGCTGCGGCACTTAGTAAGCTACTTTAGGTCTTGTAGGTAGGCACGTACATAGTATACTACCCAGGTGACACGGGGTACGTACATAGCACAGGTGTCCACGCCTAGCCATTTCCGCAGTGTCATCCTGCCCTGCTGCTTGGCCCCTCACTGCCGATCAGGATCCCCCATGCATCCCATCCCAATCCATAATTCAACCCCATTGCGCTGCCTGTTTGCCATTCTGGCTGGTTCTGGTCGTAGTTCTGGACCCAACTCCAGGGGTCCAAACCCAGCCACTGGGGGAGGGGGGCCGACTGATGAAGAAGAGCCCACGGAAAAAGAAACCAAACTTGCGATCTCACAATCTGGAGTTCGCGCTAGCGGCCCAACTCGACAAGGACCCCAACTTGCCAAGCTTCCAAGCGCTTGTATCCGTGAGGTAAGTCCGGTACGTAGCCAAGCGTCCAAAGGCATTTGTACGCTAGAGTGTATCCGCACTACGTACATTGCACTGCAAATCTCTGAGACCTGCCGACATCATCGCCGGCACCACACGTCAGTCGGTACGTGTTACTGAGCTCTTCTGCAGCGTTGTCCCTCATACTCGAGCAATGGCGTATGGAGTGTAGAACTCGACTGTTCTTTTCCCATTCTGCTCTGTCCTGCCCTTCTGCCTCGCCTCGCCTAAGCTTGCCTTGCCCTGCCCTGAGCGGCCAAAGGTGGTGGTCGATCGCCCCTTGGGCACTATCACCATCTCCTTCTCACTTAACTGCCACCCTCACGGTGCTACGCATGGTATTTGCAATTTGACGGAGGGAGATGCGCTACCCCATCGATGCCGGCACTGCTATCCTCCCACTTTACGCATAACGAACCACTCGCCGTCCGTTTCGCTAGTACCTCGGGTTCCCATCTCGCTTCCTCGTCACCTCGGTTTTTGGTTTTCGGTATGGCTGATCCAACCACGAGCAAGTTGAAACCGTGTCACCGCCAGCATTCACCAACCCCATCATTCCCGGTGCTTAAGTCACCACATGCCTTAATTTGCTGCGGCGGCAAGCCCAGTTGGGGGGTGCCAGAAGGGTTGCGACCAAGCTGCCCACTGGCCGTTACCTCTCCGGGGTATGTAGGCAATCGGCCACTTTCCCATCGTCCCGTCCGCCACCCCTACGCACATCTATTGCTCCCATATTGCCCCCTCCAGGGTCTGTCACGGTTCTGCAGTGTATCGGTACCGTCTTTGGATTTGACGCTGTGCTCTATGTACCACGGTGGTGTAGGTATGCTGCGCGACCTGCCCAGTACAACCCATATCCAATTCACCGGATTCAACCGGTATGTGGACTGCCGTGCCCTCGGTATCATGGAATACCCAAATGTGTGTCTCGCACATGTACTAATCCATATTGCGAAACCAGCATATCCGTACCCGAGGGACATCTAACTCCGAATCTTCTTAGCTTGTTATGGAGACCCAGCTGGACGCTAGACGCTAGACGCTAGCCTCTTTTTTTTTCCCTTTTTTTTTTTTCTAATAAAAAAACTTTCCCCCATCCTTTTCTTCCCCGCCCAGCTGCCACTACGAATTGCTGTGATCCATCTCATTGCGACTCACGAATGGGTAGGTACGTATAGTGTACTTTGTTGGCCCCCATGCCATCCAAGCGGGACATGCAAACCGCGGATTCACTAGGCCATATCGTTCAATAGACGCTAGTCCTTAAAATCGGCAGCACAGCAACGCTTGACCAAGGCACGAATAGGCGCGATAGGTAGAACCCGTAAAGATGCTGAGGTCCCGCCATCGGAGGGCTAATTAGCCCGGCCGACCCGGGGTTTGCTCCAGGTTGAGACGACGCCATGCCATCTGTGAAGATCCATGTCCGTGCTACGCTTGCCTGCTCTCCCTTTCCTCTGTTCCTTTGCCGCGCCCCCCTAAACGGCATAAACACAAAGCTGATACGACTGTCGCTGAGGGCCATTTATCTATCGTGCACGTTCGGACGCTCTTCCGCCAATTGCTAGGGGTGTCTCAGCTGAATCACACCCCCTCCCTCTCGCTTCGTCCCCAGTCCCACATCCCTGGTCAATCGGCCTTCATGAAAAACCAAGGCCGGCTGGCTGCCGATTCATCTGACATGTAGAGCCCCGCCGGCACCTTCATCGGAATGGGCATCGTCGTTCCAAACACTTCATCGAAGCCTGGTGACTCGCCTTGGTGTCGCTGCCGCCAGTGCTGGTGCTGCGGGTTTTCCTCATCGCCCTCATTTCCGCCGCGACCCATGTGAGTCTGCGCCCGCGCCCGCTTCAGCGTCTGGGCACCTTGGTCGGCTCCCCGCCGCGTCCCAGAATCCGCGCAGCCCGCCGTCCTGCCCACTACGACCAACACGCCGCACTCCCAGTTGCGACAGGAGAGCTTGGCCGTTCCCGACTCCCGGTCCTTCACTAACCGGCCCCTAGATTCCAATTTAGGTCAGCCTTATGATCGATCCACGTCGTTTCGTCACGTCCTGCTTAGACGGCATATGGTTCCTCTGGCCCCTCCCTCCCCGGCCTTCTTACTACTGCGACGTTGGTGCCGCCTGTCACCAGGCCTCGCGATGACTTACCATGCACTCTCTGACAAGTTTGCGCTCCCCATGTATGCCCAGACCGCACCGTTGCACGCTCGTTCTCGCACAAAAATGGCCTTGCTATGCAACAGCAGACCTGTTCGGGTACTTTCGCAATCTCGCAGTAATTCTCGCGGAAAGGTGGAAGACTTCCACCACTTCTCTTGCATGCAAATAGTGCCGGCAGCCTGTTTAATGACGCGAAATGAGCATTCTCGAAAGACAGGGGCATTTGGGCACCAGGATCGACCGGCGCCGCGGCGATCCCGGCCGGGACACACTAACAGATCTACCGCCTCGGCTGCTCGAAACGGTCTTTTCGGTCGGAAAATAAATACGGAAATGATGCTGCAAATCGACCGCTTCGGTGGTAATTGTTCTAGAACCGGAAGGACCTGACCTTCCGGCCTTGCTTCTGGTCGATTTGGACTGTCTTGCTTCGTATTCCTTCATGCCCGAATCACCTACAAGGGTGTCGTGGGGTGTTAGTCCGCTGATCACCCCGTCAAGTCTCGACAGGTTTTGAGTGCAACCACACTTACCTTGACAAGCATTGTAAATAGCTGTCAAATAACCATGGTTCAAAGATCCCAGCGAAGAAGCCTGATGACAAATTGCTTAGCGAAACCCCCTTGTCAAACTGCCCGCCAAGAGCTGGGAAAACTGTTCAGCCTACATACCACGTAGTCGACGTCGACGGGATAGTCGGTTGCTAACCCCAGACTACGAACAGTGTTTCCGAGTCCACAGTAGCCTAATTTTAAACCATCAGTTCTTATTTGACACGCCACAAACATCAATTTCTGGCGCCTTCGGCCTTGGGGGGTATACTGACCTGTGTGCTGCCAAGAGTCATTCGCATGGCTCCCGGAACTGCGGATTGAAGTCAGCTGTCAGAGTCGATGCCATCTTTGCAGTGACCCTCGTTCGATTGACTGACATTGTATGGACAAATCCGTAGCGACTCGTTTCGGAAAAGTCGTAATTGTCAAGGCTCTTGACCAGTTTCTCACCAATACCAAGAGCTGTTAGGAAGCGCCGTAGTTCCTTTCCAAACAGTGTCTCCGTACTGGCTGTAGTCTGCTGCGTCTCGAAGCGAGGCAGGTCGATGAGAAACACCATCTGCCAGTGTGAGCTAGACCATGAGGAGGATTTTGATGAATTGGAGACGACGAACGTTTTCTAGAACACCCGTTTCTCCCCAATCGTAGGGAACCAGATTGCCGGAAGGAACCACAAGTCGGAGATAGCTGCCATAATCTCAGTAGCTGCCGGTAGTTTAAAGAATGGAGACGCCTTACCCTTCATACTTTAGGATCTGCAACTTAGAATGCATATACCCGCCGTGCATGGGCGGGAAGCAGAATCTGATGAGCCCAGCAGGGGCGTTTGACCTAATCACTGCTTTCTGTTGGATAGTGTCAGTGAACGTGTCATCGGTCACGGATAGGGGCTTTGTTGGCAGTTTTCCACGTACCTCTGCGTCGTTTGCTGCATACGCAACCAGCACCATCTTGGTGCGCCGACAGTCGATCTTCGATAGTAGCCACTCCTCATCCCATTGAAATGAGGAAAGAACGGCGAGCTGCAGCTGCTCTTTTTGCAACACTTCTTCGATCTTGATATCATCGCCCCTTCTCGGGTATCCTCGTGTCCAGGTTCTCCTGAAGACTCCCTTGGCGAAAGGTAGATCGAGGGCATTGGCTGCTTGCTCCTGTACCTTCAGAACAGGGACAGCGTCTCTTAACTCTTGGCTGTCAGCGGCATCAGTCCGTTGAGATTTTGACATCTTAATGTTCTCGTCAAGGTCAGCTCGCGTGGCTGATCGTTTTCCCAGTCTTGCGAGACGTTCCTCTTCCATTCTTTTCCTGTCAAGAGCAAGGCACCCAAACGTAACACCAGTGGTAGACTTGATGGACTGCTTCAAAGGGCTCGCTGTCGCATTTGACGCCTCTGATCGATTGTGACGTGTGGTGTCTTCTTGTTGCAAAGATAATGCAATGGCCAAGGCCAGATCCGGGTCATCTTCCGCATCTGGTGATGCAAAAGGCGCTGGATTGTATTCTGAACTCATGATGATGCGCAAGCTGCAAGAAATACGCTTTTCCTGATTGTTCCAGTAGTGATGAGATGAGAAATTGAATTCCAGAGTCTCTATTGTGCTGGATTCGGCGTGGAATAAGTTGAACGTGGGTTACAGGCAGTCGCGATACCATACAGCGTTTATTAATTTGGTTGGGTGGCTGTCGCGGTGTCACGTGCCTTCGTGACTACGGTTCTTCTTTGTTGCATACTCCCCCGATCTCCTCCCGCTTAGGTACATTAGATGCATAAATGCGCCGCTCCCTAAGTGTTAATTAATTCACTTACCGCTCGTATCTGCTTGATTTCTTTACAATTTCTTCAGACTCCCAATGATAAGGGTTGAATCAGTATGGGAAAGCTTGATAGTTGTACGATCAGATAGCAGACACGACAGATCTAATATATTCATGACTTGTTCTTGATTACAGTTGCTCGTCACTGCCTGATGCGCAGCGACTTGTGACAATACTTGCAATCTTGCCTTCTACTGTCTCGTCGTCACGCTTGTGTATATAACTATTTACGTCAAGAGCTTGGACATATGGGTCACAAGCTCCTGAGATACGGACGTGGCTCTGTTTGCGTTTGTAGCTCGATTGTCTGATCCGTCACAACGACACATGATAGCAGGACAAGTGGCGTTTCTTCTTGTTGTGATTCCGGGCAAGCATACTTGATTCATTTCCCCACCTGCTCCCAGCCCCTTCGCCCCTGCTATGGCTTATCATGGTGTTAAGATGACAGGACGAGGTATCTTGCATTCACCATACAACCAGCACGGCATCAGTATGATGGCCTTGGACAACAGGGCAGAAACGAGTTGAAACCCCGTGCAACATCGAGAATCAAGGCTTTACCTCTAGCTCGCCTAGACTATGTGGTATGCTGCCTATCGTGAATGTTTGCACGGCCCAAATTGGTATGGGCTGATCTAGCAAAGCACATCGCCATCCCCAATTTACGAACAGGTTCGAGAACAGACCTCGGGGTAAGATCCGAATGAAACTCCGAGATCCAGCTGCATTTACACCCGTACCCTATGAGAGCCGACGCAGGAAATCTTACTAGTATTCTTCATGCCCACCTTGCTTCCCGTCGAGTTCAAGCCGAGCTTTTGCACAGGGTGAATACAACATACTTCCCATCAACGTTTATGGTCCATTCATGTATTCTCGACGTGCATCACACTGACGGGCATTCACAGCCAGTGGTCCTAAGACAAGGTAGACTGTCCGTTTGTCGAAGAGTATATTATATACCTTTAAAAGTACGTCACGAAGCGTTCCAACGAAAATGCAGACGGAAAATGATTGAAATTGTCCTATCTGAAGAAAAACATCGATGTCGCCTCCGGGTATCAAGTTGAATACTCCTGGCGTGGGCACAAAAAAAGCATCTGCCAATTTTGCCACATCCCGTAACCCCAAGACACCCAACAACAAAAATCACAATCAGCAGCTAGAACTCGCAGAGACTCCCGTTCCATGCTAGTTGTTGGTCCAAAAGTTTCACATCCATAGAGCATGGACACCTGGTTGATGGGTGGCGTACGGAAAATGTCCACCTCATAGTCCAGACCAGTGGCTTCTTCAAGAGTACAAAGGACGTTCTCCCGATTTGGCAGCCGCCAGAGGGGAGTCTAGTTTGAGGATTCGACGAAGACTGTCCTCCATGACACGAAGATCGGAAGATCGGGCCTCCTCGGCTTGTGTTTTGTTTCCAACAATGACATTACTGGCGTGGGATGTTGAAGGTGCCGGTGGCGAGGGTTGAGGAGAGCCTGTCATACCCTTGCCTCCAAACAAGTATTTCTTCAAGGCTTCGGAGCGGTCCTCAGATGGTGAGTTTTCCGAAGCTTTTGGTGTACAAGGTTGACTAGGACCGGCGCGGGCAGCCCGAATGCGGTCCTGGTAGGGAGTCGAAAAAGCAGGGCCAAGTGGCTTGCCGGGAAAGCCATCCAGCTCTGCCGAAGAAATGCCGCTCGAGGATCGCTCGAATGGCATTCGATGCCCCGGGAGGGTATTGTACGGTTTCGCGGCGAAGGGACTGTCTCTGAGCGCGGGAGCCGACGGCGATACAGGCCCCTGAGGCCGAGAAGAGGAGTGAAGAGAGCTTACTCGACGTGCCTTCTCCTTTTCAGCCCTGTCCGCTCGAAAGATTGCATCAAGGGGAGACTCTCGGGCCACAGGCACAGTCGATGGATGGTGCGGTGTCGGTGCCTCGTGCTCCGTCACTGGGGGAGATGGTTGCTGCTGAACATCTCGTCTCATGCCCGGATTGCCTGGGGACTCGGGGATCGATTTCGAGTAGAAGCTAGGCATAGGCAGAGCCGAAGGAGCGGGAGATGCGTGGAAGGTTGCGCCAGCGAAGGCTGCAGCGGTGTTTGGCTTGTTGCTGACGGGAATGCTCTGGGGTGTTGACCGACGGTTCTGGCGCGTGTCTGGCGATGCTACAGGATTGGCACTGGAATTCTTAGCTCGAGGCTTGTGGCGAGAGCGCTGCTTGGAGCCGGCCTGAGCCCCCGCGGCCGACTGGGGATCTGGGGAACCCGAGTAGGACTTCTGAGGAGTGTGTAGGCCGAACTGATCAAAGGCAGAATTCGACACATTTGCGATATCGTTCTCGGAGGCGTACATTTTCTGCCCGGCCGTCTTCCCGCCGCCATTTCGACCTCGGCGACGGTTGGGTGTAGGCTTCGCTTGATTGGTTGTCTCCTGCATACTGATGTCTGAAGGGACAATCTGGCGTGTCACTTTTCGGCTTTCAATGTTTCGCTTTGCGTTGTTATTAATGTAATGAGAGACGGCAAAGGAACGAGAAGAGTGCTTTGTGTACGGCAGTCTCGTGCTCAGAGCCGAGTCGGTACAGGCAGAGCGCTGTAGGTACGTAGGCTAGGTATGATGCGTTAAGATGAGGCAGGCTCGTCGGTAGATCGGTCGACCGCAGAGTGAGTGCAACGGCGACTGTCGACGTGCCGCTGGGAGCGTCGTGTTGATGCTTAAAGATACTGGGATTTTCGCTTTGGTTACGGGCGGATGATGGTCGGATTGCGTGTTCAAGCGCCGGGAGGATGGTCTGTCTGAGGAAGCGGGTTTCGGGGAAGGGAAAAATAGAAGCAATTATCTGATGCAGAAGAAACGCGTGATGGTGCTCTGCTCATTGTGCCGTGCAAAAGGAGGGCGAAGAGTAGATAGGGTGACGCTGAAGCAGCGATGGGGTGGGCAGTGGCTGCAGCTGTGATGCGGCTAGGCAATGGCGAAAGAGGGGAGAGGGGCTTAAGTAACCCTGGCGCCAAGATTGGGCTCGTTCGGCAGGGCCAGGCGAGGCACGGCATGCCATCCCAACCTGTGTTCCTCGCAACTGTCCAACACCACCGACCAAATAAATACATCCAATCAGAAGCAACCGAGCCACTGCCGCCCCCCATTTCCCGGGCCCGTTCTCAATGCCAGCCTCACGATAAGCCACTCCTGCTCTGATAGGCACCCCACCATCCTTGTTTCCCGTGCACCAAATATGGCAGGGCGCGAGTCACTTTCCAGGACCAACTGCGTCACTGCTGTGACGCGGAGACAGCATGGTTGAATGTTTGTCTACCCGCATCTTGAAGTTCGGACTGTGCTGCGGACAGTATGAACTGGAAGTTCGTCAGGCTAAAGTCTTCAGCTGCTCTTGATGACTGCAAATCCAGCCAACAGCCCCGGCTTTCGGCTTCGGAATGCGGGCGGCAGAGACTGAATTGGCGTCGCATCGCCCGCACTGCTCGATCGATATTCGAACTCCCGTCATCAAATAGATACCACCAGCTACGCGAGTGTCTCGGGGCAAATGGAACGCGGTACGGGTACCGTACCTTACCTGACAGGACCTCAGGTAGGGCCATGCTGCCATACGACTATGGTACCTAGACTATCTTTTGGCTAGCGTACCTTAAGTAGGTAATTTCGGAATCCATGGATGGAAGCCAGCGGAAGTCAGAGCTGACATGAAAGGCACACCGGCCTTCGCTGCCCGTCCGCACAACCTACCTACCTCATCTACCTATGTAGGTCCTAGGTGGGTGCTTAGGCACTATAAGGCACCTTATTCAGGCATCAGGTACGTATCCGTATGTACTACCTACCTTATGCAGTAGTAGTTAGTGTGCCTTGCCTACTGCTTACGGCATAACTCCATCCAATCACAGCTCGCACCTGCCTACGAAACGGAGTTGCTTTAACCACTGGTGGCAGCCTTGCCTCTTACTCTGCCAAAGGTAAGGCAAGCAGCAGTGCCTCACCAACGCAACGCCCGCGAAGACGAGCAGAGCTAGCCACGAAACACGGCGATAAAGCATCCAAGAGGTACGGACAGTGGTATAAAATTTGTTTATTCTTCCGACCGCATCAACCCGACGTGTTCTTTTCTCAGGCACGGCAGCCTTCCCTGTCTACCTTCCTGCTGTACCCTGCTGTCACCTGCCGATTCTGCCACCTCTTTGACCTCACTGATCAGTGCTGACCCCCTCCCACCTCCAACCAGGTACTAAGGCATCAGGTACAACCAACCGTTAAATTCGAGAGCTCTTCTGCCAAAGTCTGATTTCCATCACCAACTCATCGACCCCGCCCCTCGACTCCCGGTATTCCGCTTTCGCAGCACTCGCCGCGCCCTCCGAAACGTCCATCGAACCCCGCCGTTTCTAGAATCCCACCATGGCCGACGTTGACATGACCGATGCCCCTGGCAACGTCGTCAAGAAGGGATCTGACGGTGACTCCAAGGCCGCCGACGGCAAGAAGCGCTTCGAGGTCAAGAAGGTTAGCATCTCGGATCTAACATTCCTTCTGAGCTTACGAATAGGTAGTGGAACGCCGTCGCACTTTGGGCATGGGATATTGTCGTCGACAACTGCGCCATCTGCAGAAACCACATCATGGACCTCTGTACGTCGAATAGAAGGAACATCGGCTGCGGAGCTGTTTCCACGGACATACTGACACCACCACA